TTGCAGTTTTGCTATTTAAAAAAAAAAAAAAAAAAAAAAAAAAGACTGGTGTTCAATTGGCTCCAGTACTTGACAGGAAAATACAATTGTTCCTGATGTCAAATTCCAGCGACTCCTGCTATAAATTAGGGGTTGGGCACTTGTTTGGAGCAGTTTAACTCTGAAGATTATTTACCTTGCTCTCCGAAGAACACTTTAGTTCAAGATGAGCGCATCAGTGGCCGTATATAGAAATATATACACTGAGGATCGCTTCAGACAGACGTATGGTACGGAAGACCAGTCTAGAGGGAGAGAGCGGCTCCGCGACAGACTGGCGCAGAGATGCAGCTGCTCTCAGGTGGACTGCCTTCACCTGCTCAAGAAGAGACTGCCCGTGTGCAGCTGGCTGCCAAAATACAAGCTCAAGAAATGGCTTTTAGGAGATATCATAGCGGGACTGACCGTTGGAATAGTACACATTCCCCAAGGTAAAAAAACAAATTTAATTTACGCTATGAAATAGGCTGGTAAAGAGAAAGAAATGGTTCGAGAATATGAAAAAAAGTTATTAAATAAAACCAGGTTAGGATCATTCACGTGAACATAGTTTTGGAACGATACAACGACTTTGATGAGAGAAACGTATTGAATCGAAATTTTTTAAACACTGTAGGCCTATGGCTGGCTACTTTGATATAAACTCAAAAAGTAGCCTATACAAAAATTCGTTAGCCTATACAATTATACATCAAGTAAATTATATACACATTTTTTTTATATTTTATTATAATATGTCATGTTTTTAATAATACAATTTTTAGTTAGAAAATGTTATGAACATTTTCACACTGTGTGAAAAACGTTCGTAACATTTTCAAATTAATTAATAAATAAATAGTCTAAATAAAGTCTTAACCATCACGTTAGAGGAGTTAAACAATTTATCTGCGACTTGAATACACGTGAGTATAAGTTAATAATTACTTTAAAAAGGTGTTTTCTATTGTCAAAAATATATATATTTGAAATATAATATACTAATATGAAATATATAGAGATTTTTTAGAACAAATATCGACGTTTTCTTAGGAGTAGATTCGCCCTGAACAAAACATTTAATAAATCGGATAAACATATACGTGATTTTTTTATTTATTTAACTTTCCTTGTCACATGACAGCAATATGGCGTCCTATGTGTTCGTTATACGTGTGGGGATCAGTTTAAGATTGTTGACCGATTAAAATACTGCTACTAATAAAAATACTAATAATAACAAAACAACAATAATAATTCCGATATTGATAACATATTCATAATAGAAACTGCATATTTAATCAGAATTCGAATGAGCTTTATTGCCAGCTTTGTTCGAGGAATTCGTTTTAGTGAAAGAAAAAAAATAAGTCTTTGAATTTAAATTTGAATGTAGTTTTAATTTAGTAGATGAAATATGCATCATGTATTTGACCCATATTCAAGACACCATAAATGATAAAACATACTGTTTGTTTGCTAGGAATGGCCTTTGCTTTGTTGACATCAGTGGCTCCAGTCTATGGCCTTTACACTTCCTTCTTCCCTGTAGTTCTCTATATGCTCTTCGGCACTGGCCACCACGTTTCTACAGGTAAAAGACTTTCATTTACCAGAGTTTAGCACTGTGGAAAAACTGTGGTTCCACAAAGTTTCCACAGATTTGTTCATCACATTTTGGATACCAGTATTCCCAAGAGTGCTCGAATATTTACAATGTTATTAATCTGCAACCATGTTTAGCCAGTGTCCGTCATGTTTAACCAAGAAAATGAAATATCATTTCAAGAGTTTGGCTTTTGTAGGTACCTTTGCTGTGTTGAGTTTGATGACTGGTTCAGTGGTGGAGCAACTAGTTCCCATCCCACTCACTCTGAACTCCAGTAGCCCAGAAGCCGCAGAGTTTGAGGCCCAGAGGATTGGGGTGGCATCAGCTGTAGCATTTCTCTCAGGCATAATGATGGTAAGAAAATGTTGCTGTATTTAAACACATCGCATCCATGTGTTTTAGTTAACCAGTTTGTTGTCTGATGAAATGTTAGACTCGGACTACAGAATTATGATAGCATGTTGCTTGTTTTTATTGTCCCAGCTCTGCATGTGTGGGCTCCAGTTGGGTTTCCTTTCCACATACCTCTCAGAACCAATTGTTAAGGCGTTTACAAGTGCAGCCGCCTTCCATGTGACTGTCTCACAGCTGCAAAGCATGTTGGGATTACGGCTACCTCGATATGCTGGTGCCTTCTCTCTTTTTAAGGTTTTTAAATTTGTTTGAGTTGTTCTTATTCCATTTAAATTCTTATTCCATTTAAATTCTTCTCTTTTTAATGGTGGAACACAGACTGTTTTTTCTGTTCTGGTTACTAGTGTAATAATTAGTTAAAACTACTATAAATATCACTGTAGTATCTCTCACTATTACTGGGCACAAATGAGTCAGTAGCTCCTTTTAAACCCACAGACTCTGGCATCAGTGATGGAGAATGTGCCCCACACTAATTTGGCTGAGCTGGTGATCTCACTGCTTTGCCTGGCTGTTCTGGTGCCAGTTAAAGAGGTCAACTCACGCTTTCGGGAGCGTCTGCGCACTCCCATCCCCGTGGAGATCATCACTGTGAGTTTGCACTCCTCAACAGATATTTAGAAGATTTAGAACATCTCTGTGAATTACTGACATAAATAAGCAAATGAACTTTTGTACAAATATTTGTCATTCACCAGACAACTAGTCCAGTATAATGAGAGTTTCATCATCAACCCTATTTCTAGTGTTGTCTGCACTGTGAAAAATAATCTTCCATTCTCTTGTGGCTCTTGCAGGTAATAATTGCAACAGGAATTACATATGCCTTTTCCCTGGATTCCAAATATGACATACAGATAGTAGGACATATTCCAGCAGGGTAATATATTATTATTATTTTTAAATATATATATTTGAAATAATATATAGATAGAGAGACCTACCTGCAAAGCTACAGTACTGTTAAAAGTTTGAGGGACTGAAGATACTAGTGTTCTAATAATTTTGGCCACCACTGTACATCCTGCAGTTTAACTATAATTTAAAGCTAAATATTTACTACTTTTCAGCTTCCCCGAGCCACGGCTGCCTGCATTGGAGACAGTTCCAGAAATTGCCGGTGACACAGTTGCTATCACCCTTGTTGCTTACGCTGTGTCTGTATCTCTAGCCATGATTTATGCTGATAAGCATGGATACTCCATTGATCCAAATCAGGTAGATACTATATTAATAATCTGAAAAGTTTGACTGGTTGAGCATAGATTTGTAATCATCATCAAAAAACAATGTTCTTTCATTTTTGTTGTAGGAGCTTCTAGCACATGGGATCTCCAACACTGTGTCATCTCTCTTCACATGTTTCCCCAATTCAGCTACACTGGCCACCACAAACATACTGGAGAGTGCCGGAGGTCACACACAGGTACTGGTTTGTTTGAGTTGTTCTTATTCCATGTTAGAAAACAAAGCAATGTTATGCAGTAAAGGTCTCGCTGAGATAATATAATGAATGTTTACTGCAGTATGTTTACTGCTAGAAGTGTAAGTTGACTATTTTTCTGTACAAGATTGTCAAACATAGTAGGAGTTAAATACAATAATATCCTTTGTCTGTACTTCAACAGCTCGCAGGACTGTTCACAAGTCTGGTTGTTCTTATTGTACTTCTGCTAATAGGACCTCTGTTTTACTTTCTACCCAAGGTAAGACACATTTGCAATGAATTTATCTTCTAATGTGACATATTTCAGAATGAAACAGTATTGAGTATTATTTTGAAAGTCGCTTTGGATAAAAGCGTCTGATAAATGCACCAAAATCAATGTAAATATTGACTTATAGGTCATAGACATTTGGTAACAAAAAAAAAGGTAATTTTGGATTTCATACTCTTTTTAAGGAATTATCAATATAACCTTTAGCATTACTGTCTCTCTCCTTTCTCTTCATCCAGGCAGTGCTTGCATGCATAAATGTGACCAGCCTGAGACAGATGTTCCTGCTGTTTCAGGATCTCCCAGACCTTTGGCGAATTAGCAAAATTGATTTTGTACGGTTTTACCACCACTCGTTCCCAGATGAGCGCTAAATATGTTTAATTTCTGAATGACATTGAGTCCAGCTGATTAATTTCAATTCTTGTTACGTATGTTTGAACAGATGGTGTGGCTTGTGACCTGGCTGTCAGTAGTTGTGCTAAATGTAGACCTGGGCCTGGCCATTGGAGTGGTCTTCTCAATGATGACAGTTATATGTCGTACACAGAGGTAAAAATACTGACACTTTCTATTATGACTACTTGAGCTTTCATATACTCACTTCATGAGATATTTAGTATAAATTAGAGCAAGGTTTACTAACTTCAGGGTCATAACCTGCACTAGGAGGAAATGATTATGATTTCACTCTAATCTGTGCTATAAACACACAAATGAGTGAAAAAATATTCTGTTAGAAAAGAAAGTATAATAGATTATGAAAAAATATATGAATAAAAATAGATTAAAACCATATGGCTAAAGGTAGAATGAATTTAGCTCTATACCTGTTAAAAAAATCTAAGCATGTTTTTCCAAACTATTTATGATCAAAACAACAGCATGTAACATATTAGAAGCGCGAAATGATTTTTGTATAGCAAGCAATAAAGTTACTCCTGAATGTATTTGCTGAAGAAATGCATGCACAGGTTTCACATTAAACATGAATTGTTGTGTAATTTAATATTTTAATAATAACCAAACTGTCCATGGATTTAGGGTACTTCTGTATAAATCTAATTAAACGTACGCTTAGATTTCATAAGGGTTTTGAAACATATAACATGTAAAAAAGGGATCCTCTGGGAGAAAGATTGGGAACCACTGAATTAGAGTGTGTGTATCATTCTGGCTGTATAGAGATAATGATATTATCAATCCAACTAGAGCAGCCCCAGTGGAACGAGGTATTGAGTACATAATATAATTGAGATTGAAACTATCTAATTAGATTTGTGTATTTATCTGCTTTAATAATCATGTTTACTACATCCTTTAATTATGCGTTCCAAAGCTCAGGGGCTGTATAAAAACAGCGAACCAGTATCCCTTACAGACCCTGTGTTCCAAAACAACCTTCCTCTCCTGGCGGATATGAAATTCACATTTAAGGAAAGGGGAGATAAAGTTGAGACAAAAAGATGTCCCTGAACTCATAGTAAACTTTCTGTTTTCAGGGCCAACTGCTCTGTGTTAGGAAGAGCTGCCAACACGGAGATTTACAGATCCATCGACAACCATAATAAAGTGAGTCAACAGGCATCATATTAAGTTTCTTTTCTTATTACCACACGTAATGTAATTTACTATGATTAGAACTGGGCCTTGTGCTTTTGGAAGTTAAATCGATTAACCATTGCTGCATTTAATCACATCTGTGTTGCGTAACTGCCGACGCGGTTATACCCTCTTCATCTCTCTGTACTGTAGTGCTATGAAATCCCTGGTGTGAAGATCCTGACCTACAATGGGCCCATCTACTATGGGAACCGTAGCTTTTTTAAGGCTGATATGACTCAGCTTCTGGGCCTCACCCCTGAGAGGATACGCAGCCGAGAGAAAGCCCTGAAGGCCATTGAGAAGAGAGAGAGAGAGGCCATTAGCTCTGTAGTAAGATGATCAATCCATCAGTTTATCTGTAATATGCTCCTCAAATTTAGGAGTTTATTTTAGCTTACTTACCCCAAAAAATGGATTAGGGTTAGGCATTTTATGTTTTACATTACATCTGAATGTTCATAAGCCACATTCAGAGCTGTTGTAAATGCACAGCTGCACATTCTGTGTTGAAGGCATAGTTCACCCAAAAATTAAAAATCTGTCATCATTTACTCAACCTCATGATGTTCCAAAACCATAAGAATGTGGTTAATTTTTTTAACAAAAAATAAGATATTATATTTTCTGTCTGTCCATTGAAAGTCCAGATAACCAAAACTTCCCAAAGAAGATCCCAAAATAATTAATTTAGGCTTTTGAGCTTGCACTTCGCCATATGTCATGTGCCCTATGGATGTGTTTTTATCATTGTTTAGATAAAAAAGGCCTAAATTAAATCTGTTCATCATATAAAGTGAGCATATTCCTTCACATGACCTGGATAAAACTGCTCAATTCATATAGATTCATTTTATGATGCCTTTATGAACTTTTTGGATCTTGGAAGTCTAAACTTTCAATGGAGGGACAGAAACGTCTCAGATTTCATTAAAATATAGTTAAGATTAAAGATTAAAGGGTGAGTAAATGATGACAGAATTTTAATTTTTGGGTGAACTATCCCTTTAATGAGCCATGTTGCATGTAATTATATAATTAGATTATTGAACTATATTACTTGGTGGAAGAATTGTTTATTAAGATAATAATACGTTTAATGTCAGCTGTTGCTGTGGTTTTATTTTACTTGCATTTAAGTGGTTTTAAAATCTAGTGGCTTTTTGCTTTCATAACCTCTGAAATGCTTTACTTGTATTCAGGCCTGTATTATTGAATTGATATGTCTTTGCCTTGATATTTTGGAGATTTTCTTCTAACAACAACAAAATAACCTATTTAAAGAAAACATCTGAGTGGATAACTGTATTGTTTTTCAAGGAACAAGGAGTTACAGACAGTTCATTTTCTTCAAAGAATGACTTGTTCAGATCAGGTGCATTCCCACTTGTACAAGTAATACCAAAAATCACATTAAAGAGTCTTTTATTTCAGTTGTTTCACACCTCCATTTCTTTTCTTTAATTGTTTACTGCAGAGATGGCTGAGGGTGAAGTCGAGGCTGTGTTAATAGACTGCAGCAGTGTCATTTTCGTGGATGTTGCTGGAGCTCGGTTATTCATACAGGTGAGCCGGACTGTATAGGTTTTGTTTAGACACCCATCAACATTGTCATGAAAAATGTCTTATGTTTACGGTACTTATATCCTGCCACAGATGTGCATGGATTGCCAGAAGATAGGAGTACGGATATACCTGGCTAACTGCAATGGTGAGTTTTCACAAATACTGTATACTTAAACAAACCTTTCAAACAATTCCCTGAGGGTAATATTTTCTTTCTCCTGTAGAGAGTGTACTGAAGATTCTCACATCCAGCGGGCTGATGAACTACATGAATCCTCAGCATATTTTTGTTACAATTCATGATGCAGTGGTCTACATACAACAGCAGCGGGTATGATGCAAAACCTTCATAAATGTGATTTCATATCTCGACAAAACAGCATATTTTATGTGCTAAACTGTAGTGTTATGGCACAATTTCATTTCCATTTAAAATTTCATCATTTTGTTTGACAGGAGAAACCTCCTGAGAACAGCACAACGGTATGGGTGTGATCTATCTGACACAAAGTAATGCAAGACTGAGACTCAAAACAGGACCTAAAGAACCAGTTGGTGACTTCAAGTGTGTCAGAGAAATTACTTAGTCATTCCAGCATTTATTTCGACTCAACATGCTGTGATGAGTTTGTCGGGGCTATCAGTGGTTGTTTTAACAGATTACAGCTGTAGTGGCTGTTGTGTTCATTACATGCTAAAAACCTGTTCATACCAACACAAATATTCTGTGCGAAAATTCATTGCCATAAACATTTTAATTTGAATGAACGACCAGTAATGTGTGACCAGCACAAAAATGTTCATGTTATCAATGCAATGGATTTTTTTATGGAGAGGTGTTCTAATCTCTTTTCCATTGCACTGGTAAAAAAAAAAACCTGGTCAATCAATAGGATTCATGCTTTATGTCAGTTGCCCAGAGCCGCTGTTGTTACATAAAACTAGAGTTGGTGGCACTCGCAGATTATTTTGCTGATTGTCAGTTAGCAGCTTGGCTCGCTTGTCTCTGTACTCTTGTATTTGGTTAACAAACACCATAGTAAACACAAAAATCTGAATGGCTGTTTGAAAACATGTATATATTGTTTGACTCATTTCCTTTGCCATGACAGAAACCAAAAACGCAGCTCTTTGTGTACTGGAACAGCTGGTGTTTTTCAGCTTTTATAAATGCCATCTACTGTCAGAGAGTGAAACCGCATTTTTATTCAGCCTCTCTGTGTTTTGTGCTTTGGTCCGAAATCGGACCGAATATTTGTGCCGAACATTCTTGTCGGTGTGAACCGGCCTTAACATTGCCAACCATGATTAACAGCAGTGTTAACGGTATTTCTAGCCCTGCAAGCCCCATGTGTAGGCAAAAAATATAAAATATGGTTATTTTATTGATTATGTCTGAATATTTTCAATTTATCAAAAGTGGCTGAATGTTTTTTTTTTAATGAAAATTAGGGATGCACCGATACCGATACTGAGCTCCTGTACTCGTACTGTACTCGTTAAAATGCCCTGATACCAAACGCCGATACCACACAGCATGTGATAAGTGCCATATTCAGACAAATAAACACTGACAACAGACAGCAGAATGGAGTTATTAGAGATTAAGGATGTCTACGAAGTATATGTATGAAATGAATATAATGTTAAACATTCAGTATTAAC